CTCTGCAACCGTACAAGTTAGAAACCATTTTCTGGTATTTGTATGATCGTATGGGTTCAATCTATTTGTTGATTGGAATCAAATATCATAATTTTAAAAACATTACAAATCAGACTCATTTGAATTAAATATCTGTTTTGAAGGCTAAAAATACAATTTTTGCCAAAATGACGTTACTTCCGGTGATAATGACAATCTTAAATTACTTGTATGAAATTGTAAATGGCATTAGGTATCACACAGTGAAAATTTTATGAAAATGAAATAATAATTGACACTTTTATGGACCAAAAACCTTGAAAAGTGACCTGGTGAAAATCGCCTATTTCTCCGCAACTGAACAAGTTAGAAACAATTTTGTGAAATCTATATGACCTTATGAATTTTATCAATATGTGAATGTAAACCAAAAGTTAAAAATACATATTAAATAATTCTTGGTTGAAAAAAATATTGATTTTAAAAGTTAAAAATGCATTTTTTGACAAAATGGCGTCACTTCCGGTGTCAATTTTAAATTGTAATCAATTTGATACAACGCATACTTGCTTTTTGAATCAAATGGTGTCACTTTTGTGAATATCCAATAATAATTGACTATTTTACAGGCAAAATAACGAAAACAGTGACTTGTGCAAAATTGTCCATTTCTAGGTAACTGCTTATATTACAAACTAATTTAATATACATTTTCTTCGTATGGATTATAGCTACAAGTTTATAAAAGTTACGTAGAAATATTTTAAAATCTGAAAAGCCTGAATGGGTTGTAAATAGGTCAATTTTACACCTTTTTTCACCTCTTAATCGAATTTGCTCGAAAATGAAATCGAAATTAAAAAAAACGATCCCAACATTTTGTGCGCCTTTAAAGGGCACACTCTTTTAGTTATATCAGTTTCTTAAAAGAATAATATTTGCTTTCGAAAAATGGTACCTAACTGTCAAAATTGTAGTTTTTGGTAAAATTAAGCCACTTCCGGTGCAGACAGATATCTCTATCGGTAACAAAAAAAATGACAATTGAGACAACGGAGTATATGAACTTTGGTTTATACAAATCAAGCAATAAATAATTAATCTAAGAATGAAAAACTGAATTAGCCAATGGCGGCTAAGGAAAATTACTGAGACAAAAAAATTTCACATTTTTGCCCAAGTCAGATGACTCGTTAATTTTGTGTAAAACATGACTAAAAAATATTCATAAATAAAAAAGTTTTTTGTAAAAATTTAAATTTTCAAATTTCGAACAACAAAAGCCATAGATGAATGTTCGAAATTCAAAAATGTGAGATAGCCATTGTCTCGGAAAAGATTCAGGGTTTCCAAAAATGTGAATTGTTTTAGAATAGGTAAAGAATTGGCGAAACCACGGCCGCTTTTTGATTTATTGCTTCCGTTCAAAATTCGGCCACTTCCAGTCTGCGCAGAAGTTTCAAAAATACTTTATCAAGTAACCGCCACATGGTTTCCCGATAGAGAAATAGGCTCCCGCGGTAAATAATAATAATAATAACTAGATCTGCTACTGTCCCATGTAGATATGAAAGCTTTCATATTCATCGTCACGTGACAAGGATTATATCAAGTATCTTAAAAGAAAAAAGAACAACAAAAAATAATTATCAAAATCGGTGAAAAAGTCGCGAAGTTACAAGTCTAAATATAGTGAGAAACATTGCACCCGGGCAACAAAATAATCTGAAAACTAAAGGGAAATAACTGAGAGTTGGATTGCTGTAATCGGAATGACTTTCCGTTCCAGAAGTTTAAGAAAAATTAATCAAGCCGTTTAAAAACGGACGGATGAGAACATGAAACGAAAATAGCGGGAAAGAACTAAAAAGGGGCAGGAAAATATCAAAAAAATAAATGAAATAACTTTATACGGAAATAACATTGTTTGAATCAGATTGACCTTAGCTGTTCGAATATTTAGGTTAAATTTGTAAATTTTGAAAATTAAAGGCATAAATTGTCCTGTAAACAACTTTGTCGGTACGTAAAAGGTCAAAGGCGAAATACGAAATTTTGAAAATTTTCAAACACCCAAAAATCGATCTTAATCTCAAGCTATCCTGAAAAGCATTGAACATATTACAGCCTATTGTGGTTTATTTTCACGTCTGTTCAAGTGGATTTTTCACTGTTCTTCATATTCAATTCCAAATGGAGACCATCAGTTGACCGAAACTCTTTTTTTTAATCGGATCAAAATGGGTGTAAGGCACAAGGTCCGGGGTGGCAATGGGCGTATTGTGTCCAAATTTCATGGTTTTCGGACAATCGGTGCCGGTGTCGTGGCGATATTCCACTTTTTTCGCACTTACTGAAGCCGTAAATGGCGGAAAAAGCCGAACGACAGGAACCGTGTGAAAAACAAACGACCTGAACGAATGCAGGTATCGCCTTGAATTTCTCAGGGCACCTAGGTACCAGCGTGAAAAGTTCCTCGCCGGAATTTGGTAGTCATCATTCCTTTGGTTCCAGCGTGCCGCATGCGCGAAGTCAAAAGAAATTACGGCCGATTTGGGGATCTTGGGTATATTTTGGAGTGGTTTGGTATGTGACGGAGGATCGGGGACCCGGATTGATTTATTATAATAAGCGTTGAAGAATGAGCAAATTTTCGCTACCGGGGTTGATTTGCTCTGCCCAGGCAACGTTCCGTTGGGTCGATTGCCTTCAAATTTGCACGGGATGTACCTTGGGATTCAAGCTATCACATATTAAAAATGGAAGAGTCTGGAATTCCGAGAACGTTGAAAATAAATTCGAAAACCACCACCACCGATCAAAGTTTTTTTGCTTAAAAAATTGCCGTATTTTATCGAATTTTTATTGTTCTTGATATCTAAGCATTTTCTCCTTTTAATATGTGATAAATATCATCGCGGCGCAGCCAACCGCTAGAAATTCCAGAGATTTGGACCACTGGAAGGATGCCTCAGCAGTCAAAAAAGGTCAAAATAGGCGATTTCGGTTTCTATATGTGGATACATCGTTGCAGTCATTTTAAAAAATTGTCTTTTAAGGATAATGTGTATAGTACTAATACCTATCACATACAGGAGAGGCGATAAAATCTCTTTGCATTTGCAATTTCAAAATTAATTAAAACCAATATTAAATTCCGAAAATCGTTTTTTTGCTAAACTCTTTTTTTTTTTAATGGGATCAAAATGGGAGTAAAGCACAGAGTCCGGGGTGGTAATGGGCGTATTGTGTCCTAATTTCATGGTTTTCGGACAATCGGTGCCGGTTTCGCGGCGAAAATCCACCTTTTTTCCCCTTATAGAAGCCGTAAATTGACTTAGAAAAAAAAACGACCTGGAGCCGTGCCAAGAACAGACGACTTGAACGAATGCAGGTATCACCATGAAATTTTCAGGGTACCTAGGTACCAGCGTGAAAAGTTCCTGGTCGGAATATGGTACCTTTGGTTCTGGCGTAGCGCATGCGCGAAGTCAAAACCAGCTAAACTCAAAGCAACCTTGTCGGCACGGAAAACATCAAAGGCGAAATTCAAATTTTTGAAATATTCAAATACCAAACATTCGACCATGAGCCAGGCTATCCTGAAATGTATTAATTTCGGTAACAGGAGACAGATTCTCTAAGTCACGACCAATCGTGTGGGTTTTCAAGCCCATTAATGTGGACTTTTCACTATTTTTCACTTTCAATTCAAAATGGCGTCCATCAGTTGACCTAAATCAAAATTCTACTGCCTACATTTTATGGGCTTTCCTTCAAGGATTTGGAAAATATAATTCCTTTGTCTGTAAGTAAAATATCAAAAAAGCCTTAGCGATATTTCACATTTCAAGATGGTGGCACTTCCGGTTTGGGTTACAAACTCCATTTTTTGTGTACGCATCAGTAATTACTTGTCTAGTATCAAAAAAAAAAAGAAAGGTCATTCTGACCTATATTTCGATGATTTTTTTGAAAATTTTGATCCTTAATTTCATTAAGGGGAGATAATTTAGCAAATTTATAATCATTTTTTTGAAGTCGCATTGGTAAGATCTACTTACATGCTAAATTTCATGAAAATCGTACAACTATTAAAGAAATTGTCAAGTTGGTTTCAACTTCCGGTTCGAAATCACAGCGACGAATTTTCGAAATTCGAAAATCTGAATCTGCAGATTTGTAGTAATTGTCTCAAGGTACTCAAAGAAAAAAGATTTAGTAAAATAGGTCAAATAGTCACAAAGTTACAGCATTGTAGGTCAAATGCATTCGTTCGTAAAATTCGGTGATTTCGGATTCGTAAAACGTTTTGAAAATATATTTAAGCAAAAGCTGCCACTTAATTTTGGGGGGGGGGGGGGGTAGGTCAAAGTTTCAGAAAGATCCTATGGTTAGATTCTGAGAAATCCGATTTGCAGAAAGTACACAAAAAAAAAATAATAATAATAATAATAATCTTAACAAAAACAATAAGCTTTCATATGATATATGAAAGCTTAATAATAATAATTTTAGTAATCTCAATAGGCTTTCAGACGAAAGTCTGAAAGCCTAATAAGAAGAATAATAATCTTAACAAAAACAATAGTGTTTCACACAAGCTACGCAGTGTGAAACCCTAATGATTTCTGATAATTACTTAATGGGTTGTTACTTGTAATCAGATTTTAGTGTGTTGTAAATGTTTTCATTACTGGAAAATATGCGACAACCGTTGTTGACTGCACGGATGACTTAGCTGCTGTAGATTTCATTACCTGGCAACCTATCTTTACAATCTGACGAACATCTACAATAGTACACAGCCCTTACTTTCAATCACATGAAGTATATGTTTCTCAGATAGAAAAAAGAAGCACCCCAAGCTTCCCCTTAATTTCCATTTATAGCGGGAAGGGGCCGATTAATTCTGGTCCTTCTGCTCCTTTAATTCCTGAATAATATATTTTATTGAAAAAAAATCTAAATATATGTTTTTTTCTAGCTTATAAATTAACCAAATATACTTTCAATTTCAGGTTGATTCTGTGCAAGGGACATTCACTGTAAAAAATGAGAATGCAGCCCAAGGAGAACCACCGAAAACTTATACATTTGATATTGTATTTGGACAGGATTGTAAACAATTGGATGTGTATAATGTGATAGCAAGACCTGTTGTTGATTGTGTTCTAGAAGGTTTTAATGGTAAGTTGAATGTTATGACAAGATTATGTTCTTTAGTGTTCCTTTTTGTAAACTACTGAAGATACCAGATTCAGAAGTATTTGCACAGTTGTGATTTGTAAGGATTATCCATGGGATAGTCGATAATGTATGCATATTATGGCATTAAGCCATTAGCCTGGTAAAATGTCCATTTGAACATTCAGTGTAGAAAGTAAAATACAAGTTAGTAGAGCTGGCAATGTTTTTAGAATTGATTATTGCATGTCTGCCCCAATCATAAATAGCTTGGAATTGATCTTGCTGATTTTATGCATATATTGATTAATTACCAGCGATAAATAACTCTGATTTGGCCACTTGCTAGCAAACAGAACAGAGGCAGTGTGTTTTATATTTTATATCCATTGTCAGATCACTTATCTAAACGATCCTAAATAGATCCCTACCCATACCTCTTCACTACATGCTTGTTAGAACTTTACTGCAAAAATTATTTGTTTGGTATTATTTTGAAGATAATTGATTCTGAAATGTTTACATAGACATGTATATTCATGTTTATCACTACACACAGTAGGACATTAAAACCCATTTCATTTCGTACCAATATTTTTGCACATCACTACAAGTTATTCTAAATGTTAACCAGTCACATTTTTTGTACAGAATAATGTTATACAAACACTCTTTTTTTATTCCAAATTGGAATATAAAGTATAGTCATTTTACTGTATTGTATTTTAAGGTACAATCTTTGCTTATGGCCAGACAGGAACGGGTAAAACTTTCACTATGGAAGGTGTAAGAGCTGTACCAGAACTTAGAGGGATCATTCCAAATTCTTTTGCTCATATATTTGGAGCTATTGCGAAAGCTGAAGGAGACATCAGGTAAAATTTCTTCTGTCAAATTGAAAAGATTTAAAGAAATTTCTTCCCTGTCTTATGGTTTAGTGAGGTCCTTATAGATGAGTCCTCCGGTTTTATAGGCACACATTGAAATGTGGTTGTATATTGGCAGCGTCCATACAAAACTGCCAGTGTGAGGCTAATTTTCTCCTTGGCTGAAAAAGGTTCACAAACATATTACGTTTCACTGTAAAGTCAAGGCCTCCATGGATTGTTGTGGTTTTTCTTTTGTCGGTAAAATCCCGCTTATAATCATACCTGCGCTTCCAGTCAAATCATTGGTGCATTTTCTTTGCATCTTAGTATATAATGTAACTATATTTTCATTTTTTTAGGTTTCTAGTACGGGTATCATATTTAGAAATTTATAATGAAGAAGTCCGAGATTTATTAGGAAAAGACCAAACACAAAGATTAGAGGTAAGCTTTCATGTTTGATTTTTATATGTCCATATATATTGTCGTCACCATCATCTATCCACAATTATGTGAACACTCAACAAATCAGAGTACTAGTAAAATTTTTATCAAATTCACAGGATTGCTCATTTTGTCGTAAGGAAGAACACTATCGATAATAAAATATCTCTCTGTTTACGGTCAAGATAGGAAACTTTGTAAACATAATATAGGACATAATTCTTGATAGAAATTTTTAAAACCTAAGTGGAGAAACCTTCAAAATTTTAGGATTTTAAATTTGGAACTGGTTTTTTGGATTTTTATATTTTCATTCATGATTTAACTTTTTAAAGCTTGATGGGATGTTCATTGCAGTTCCATAGTAAATTTGGTAATAAAGTACATTAATTACAATGTCAGCCTATGGAAGAGCCCTATCATCGAAATTTAAACAAGTATTAGAATAAGTTAAAGCAGCTAATATCTGACTACTTGCTTTGAATGGAATCTTTGTATTTGCCTGATTGACTTAGAATTAAAAATAGGCATGTATTAAGAATTATGGAAGAAAAGAAGAACATAACCAGTTAGGAGTACTTTAGAATTGAGTTGTAGGATAAGCATGTTGTTTCAACACCTGAACAGTAAAAACCAAATAATAATGTTATTTAATGTAGAATGATTTTGTATATGTAGGTAAAAGAGAGACCAGATGTAGGCGTTTATGTTAAAGATTTATCAGCATTTGTTGTTAATAATGCTGATGATATGGATAGAATAATGACACTAGGAAACAAAAACCGTAAGTATTAGCTCTGGGTTTGGGTTCAAAATTTGAAGAAAAGGTGATTAGTCAAAATACAATAACTAGTTTTTCATTTTTCAAAATATGTTAGAAGGCAGATTTTATGAATTTGTTGTCCTCTGCATGTAGTCTGACAAAAATCGCAAAGGCTGTATGGCGTAAAATGTGATTGTTCATTGATTATTTCAGTTTTGACACACTACAAATGGTATATAGCATAATTATGAGATAGTTTTGTTTAAAAATACTTTTTAGCAATTACAGACTGTATTTAAACTTTATTAGTAATTCAGTCAAATAAACAAAGACACCACACAAACTATCCCCATAGAATTGTTCCATGCTTTCTTAAAAGTTCTAATTTTGATATAATTTGCAATAAAAGTATTGTAGTCATTGTTCAAAGGGAGATAACTACTATTATGTTCCCTTTCATTGTTGGCTACTAATTGTATCCTAAATTAAACACCAGCCAACATTAGTCTGAAATCACACAACTATGGATGAATTACAAATTTTATTTGTAGGACATGTTGGAGCAACTAATATGAATCAGACTAGTTCTAGGTCACATGCTATATTTTCTGTAACTATTGAATGTAGTGAGAAAGGTGCAGACGGACAGCAACATGTCCGTGTTGGAAAACTTCATCTTGTTGATTTAGCTGTAAGTAAAGCATTTCGCCTAAATATACTAATGGTCAATTTGACGATTGTGATTTGTAAGCTTAGATAAAGTTATATTTTGTTTGAATTAGATTATTACAAAGAAAAATGAATGAAGTTGTACTCCTCCAGATGTACAAGGTACTGTAGGTATGATTTATATTTGAATCATGACAATACTTAAATATAGAGAATCTGGTAGGAATGTAGGGAGTAAAGCTAGTTGGCATAAAAATCCTAAGGGTTCTTCTTGTTCCATATCATATTATTTACAAATTGGAAATAATACAAGTCACTGTCAACAATAACCATGGCATATCTGATATTTCTGTGTGATTTCCATATTACTAGTTTATAAAGCCCGATAACACTGAGCCAAAGATAACAAAAGTTTCATCCTATTGAATTTGAAACTACTTCTTATGTATTATATTGATCAGAAGGGTTGTTCAAAACTCAGTTATTTTAATGATCCATTAAACTCTTTAACAGATCGTTGTCTTGCTAATTTGTCGTTTGTTAACTGTCCGTTAAATTTCTGTTGCTGGAAAGTCAATATTTTCATTGTCCGTTAGCTATATAACAGACTGATTAAAGTTAATCCAAGAGAAAACTGTTTGGTCATTGGCTGAATTTTAAATATTTAAATTCAATGTACATGTATAACAACTTCATAGAAGTTATTATTAACAAGATAGTGGGACAAACTCTCCAGAATGTTCTATAGAGAACTACACTGGTATTCTATAGGACATTTTTCTAAGGGGATACTTCAGCTGACAGCCGACTAATGTTACCGTTAAACAGACTTTCACACCGTTAAAGTTAATGATCTGTTAACTTTTAATGTTAATGAGTTGTTATAAGTTAACAGAGGCCGGTTGCTCAAATGGAATAGGCCCGCATCGCCCAACCCTCTAGAATGTTCTATAGAAAATTACATAGGTACAATGTAATCTCTGACTTTTTGCTACAGCCAACTAATGCCATCATTAAACAGATAACGGAGACCAACACCTCCGTTAAATATAACGCCAAGTTAACTACACGTTAAAGTTAACGGGGCTTCCAGCAACAACCTTTCTCTCCGTTAAAGTTAATGATCCGTTAACTCCATGTTAACGGATCGTTAAAAGATAACAGAGCTTTGAGCAACCGGCCCCAGATCTTTAAACAACCGGCCCATGGCCATACTACAAGATGGCTACAAGAAGGAATTTATTATAGAATATAAGTAGCAAATAATTTCAGGGTTCCGAACTTTAAACAACCGGCCCATGGCCATACTACAAGATGGCTACAAGAAGGAATTTATGATAGAATATAAGTAGCAAATAATTTCAGGGTTCCGAACGTCAAGCTAAAACTGGTGCATCAGGTATGAGATTAAAGGAAGCAACAAAGATTAACTTATCACTGTCAACACTGGGCAATGTTATATCAGCTTTAGTGGATGGTAAAAGTAGCCATATTCCCTACAGAAACTCAAAATTAACCCGATTATTACAAGATTCCTTAGGTGGCAACTCTAAAACAGTTATGGTAAGATTTGTTTCCTCGATAAATCAGAAGTTTATTTTTTTATTGTCCATATTTATTTTATTGTCCCACGCCTTTCGAAGAAAGCAAGGGACTATTAAAATGGGTATGTCAATCCATCGGTCTGTCTGTCACACTTTTTGTGACACAGTAACTCTCCTTATAATAATTTGAGCTAGAATGTTCAAACTTGGTATAGGTGTTTATTAGGTGAATGCCTTGAAGATGAACATTTTCTGCTTAGGCTAAGCAGAGATAAGCAATCTGTTTGGTTGATGCTTTGGGACACGATAACCCGTGTTCTAACTGTGATGAAACTTGGTGTATAGTTTTATTATACCAATACCTTGACTAAGTTTGATAATGAGCAGATTGGTCGAGACTTTGGAGCTCAATAACTTTGATTCTAATTGAGTAAGATTAGTGAAACTTTCTTTATAGTTTCATTATATCAATACCTTGACTAAGTTTGGGGCTAAGTAGTAAGTAGAGACATCAATCTGATTGGTCGAGACTTTGGAACATAATAACTCTCCTTCTAATTGAGGTAGAATGTTCAAACTTGGTGTAGGTGTTTATTAGGTGAATGTCTTGACATTGTTCGATCATGCACATTTTTCACTAAGGCTAAGCAGTGAGAAGTAATTTGACTGGTTGAGACTTTGGAACACGATAACTTTGGTTCTAATTCAATCTGATTAAAACACAGATCCTATTTCGTTTCATTTTTTATAGTTCAAAATTTCATTTTACTTGTCTTTACTACACTAGGATCTGGAAGAGTTGTTATATAACCTGCGTTCTGGATGATGTGAGGGATTAGCTAATGAAATAGTCTGTTACGGCGCGTTTTTGCGTGAGGTGCACTAGTAACATCAACACTGATTGGTTAATTGAATGTCTGACATCATAGGTTCAAAAGCCGTTTGTATGAGCTCTGACACGACCTTCCCTTCCAGTACAATCGGTCATATCTTGTCTGATCTTTTTGTCGTAGAGGCCACCGAAAGTATAAAAAAAAAAACGAAAAGAAATATAGATCTGTATTTTAATCAGATTTGTTCTAATTGGGTGAGAGTGATGAGTACCTTGACTAAGTTGGACCCAAATTGATGTCATTTGGTATCATTAGTACTTATAATGACTCTAGTAATTAATGAGTTTTCATTGTATTATTTTTTTAGATTGCTAATATAGGTCCTGCTGACTATAACTATGATGAATCTATCAGTACATTGCGATACGCTAACCGTGCAAAAAGTATCAAGAATAAAGCTAAGATTAATGAAGATCCTAAAGATGCTTTATTAAGACAATTTCAAAAAGAAATAGATGAGTTGAAAAAACAACTAGAAGATGGTATGATTTATTACTTATTTTAACTATAAAAAAATACAGTTCTAATTGGCATCATTTTCGTCCTAGAATGGAGTAATGGTTTTGGCTTCTTTTTTTTTGTTGAAATATCTTGTCTAGCCTATCCATTAAGAGATAGTGATTAGTGATATGCCATGAAAATTTTGTAAAATACATTTTGTTATACGTGTACTTGATATTCATAAAGCTTTAATTGCTATTATTTATCTTCAGATTGCTTTTGTTTCAAAAAAAATTGAAGTCTTCTTAATTAATTATATTTCTGTGAAATTAACCGTATAATGTATATAGATTTAATATAAACTAGAATATATCTCTATAAATCAGGTGTATCTGGTAGTGAAGGTGAATCAGAAGAAGAGAGTGAAGAAGAAGAAATAGGAGCGGATGGAGTTGTTAGAAAAAAGAGACGAAGAAGTAAATATTCTTTCATCGTTTCTTTCAAATCAAAAGGCATATGAAAATGTCTTCCTTATCATTATGTGTACTTTTGTGTTCTAATAACTTTACTACAAGATATAGATAAAACAAATAATACAAATAAGAACACAGCACAGTTCCTAAAGAAGATATCAGATTGAACAGAAAATTCACAAAAAATATTAAACATACATTATGCAAGAGCTAAATCTGCCTATTGCAGGACTGGTCTTTCTTTAGGCCCGAAATGTTATTTAAACATTTATTAACAAAACAAGACCATAATCAACTCTCGATGGCATCGGATGCTCAAGATTTTAACTAGATTAAAATGGTTTGCCATTTAAAAATTTAATTTAAAAATGCGAAAGCGAGGCTAAGTTGTGAATATACCAGTGTGCTAGTTACCACTATGCACACATCTTGTCAAAACAATAAACAGTGATAATTTGGCTCAGAATGAAGTAATTTGGCTGAAATTTTCAATATTTTCTTTTTTTAACATCTATTTTTGAATTATTACACCAAGAATGACCAACTCTTTATTGAACTCTTAACTAATGTATCTTGAATGAAATATTAGATCTTAATTCTGCCCGTGTTTCAATTGTTGTTTGATGATCTCACAATATAACCATTCAGGGGAAGGATTGCTGTATGTTAAACCCAGAATGACCGAGATGTGTCAAGTGGATCAATCCTCATTTTCTTTCTCCCATCATGACAGTTTTATTATCTTTCCAAGATTGATTTTAAAATGATTTTAATAGTTATTACACTCAATATTCTTGAAACTATGGAAGAATGGTGACCTGGCTTCTATGTAGGAAATGAAGCATCATTGAAAATTGGTATTAGAGTGAACAGAAGATCCTAACACCCCCTCAGAGGATTAAAATAATTACATTATTCCTGTGTGTCTTCTAAAGAATCCTGTCATTGCATATAACTAAAATGATATTAATCCTTATAATCTAAAGATATAACCAGCAAATGATCATTTATGGTAAAAAGTAGGACACTAGCTAAAAGTATAACATAGCATTGAGTCCTTTGAGTAATAAAAAATTCTGATTTATATATACCCCTCTAATTCTGCAGGTCTGAGTGGTAAGTTCCAGCATGATGAATAGCTTGGGTTTAATATTGATACGTCCTTGAAATGTATTCTTATATTTTTCTCTTTTCTGAATCCTTGATGACTGTGATAAAAACACTATTTCCCATTATATTAATATCTTGCATGTTAGATACCAGTAACATAGTGTCCTCAGATCCTCACCATTTTTCCACTTCTACTTTTAAACTTTCAATCAGGTTTGGTAGATATATTGATTGGGTGGTGCTTATTCAGATTTATCCAAGTTTAGCTCAAGGGAGCAAGGCAAACACACATTAAACAGACAAAATTAGGCATTGTCGCAGATTTCCAACCTTCTTTTCAAACCACTTGAAAGATTTCAACCAAATGTGGGTGATGCTCAAAAATTCTCAAATGTTGACATTATTAATATTAATATACTGATAGACTTCTATCCCATATCATTCATGGTTGATTGATTGTCTAGTGTAGGGACACATTCTACAACATTGGATTGTACGTAAAAGAACCCTATACAGTTGAGATTCATTGAAGAATATAGGAAGTACCACTATCCATGCAAAATTCTGCTACCCTGCATTGCACATGTGACCATAGAAATTAACCACATTTCAGCAACCTACCTTTTTATACACCCACATTGAAATCTGGTTGTATATTGTCGTCACCTCTGTCTGTCCGTTCCTCTTCCAACATGGATTTTCCGATTCTCGATAATAACTGCAAGAGTTATGGTCCTTGATCACTTTGAAAAATCTTGTGGACATTCAAGAAGTGACACTTATCATTCGATTGACATACATTGTTTAGGTTTTAGACGATGTAAAATAATTACTGCCAAAGTTATTGTCTTTGATCACTTTGAAAAATCTTGTGTAGGCTCTGTAGAAGAAGCCTATGATTTCCGATAATCTTCTGGTAACCCTGGAGACAAAATTTATCATCCAATTGATGTGAAATTTATTCATAGTTGTTATTTATTCCGAGGACCAATGTAATTTTTCAATGATTTTCAGTAATTACGTCCAGAGTTATTGCCAGAACAAGAAGCCAATCAGATTTTAATTATTTCTGATAATTGCTTAATGGGTTTTTAGTGTTTTGTAAATGCTCCCATTACCTACAAAAGAATAAATATGTGACAAAGATCTGTGGACTGCACATTTGACTAAGCTATTGGGGACGTATATTTTGTTTTCTGGCAACCTATCTTTTGGTGTAATTCCCTGTAGATGTGTTATTATATGAAAAATGTTTAATTTGTATCCTTTTTTCTCACAATACAGTCAATAAAACACTCACCTTTCTCTAATTCTTGCCTGCTTATCTGCTTCGATTATTTCCATTATGAATATGTTTATTTTTTTTTCTAACTATAATCTTTTCATTTTTACAAATAAATAACCCATTGACATTATGTCATCATCAATTTATCTAGTAACTTTAACTATTTATAATCCTATTCTAAATATTTATATAATGGATCTTTCTTTGATATTCTCAATTATTGCACACTGTTAATTACATAGAATCTAAATCTCTCTCATATTCCTATATACCTTGTTCATAGCTCAAGTTATAGTTATGAGCATTCCTAATATTGTCCCCTGTCTTTAAGGTCATAAAAAAATTTCAAAAGAAAAAATGGCTGAAATTCAAGCAAAGATTGATGCTGATAGACGTCTGCTAGCAGAAACTAAGGATATGGCTGATGAGGAAAGAAACCGCATTAAGCTAGACTTGGAAGAAAAAGAAGAAGAACTTAAGAAATATCAGTTAGTTATTTTACTAGTAATGAATTCAATAATTTTGATTATGAGAAATTGATAAAGACATCAGTGCCTGTCCAGTCTCATAGGGTTTTTTAAGGTCCTCTGGTTTCCTCCAACAGCAAATTCTTGAAATAAAATTGAACCATGTGACCTAGTTTGTGTCGAGTGAATGTCAAACCTAATTTCTCTCTCTCTCATTCCCTGTTTTATCCCAGGTTGCAGTCACAACACTTTCATGGATTCATTAAGAACAAGAAATCCAGAAACAAAAGTGTACAAAAGATTGTCTAAACATGAACAAGAGAAATATAATGATATGAAAGTGCTAACTTTTCTCATTGACACTTTTGTCATCATATTATGTTTCTTTTGTAGTAATCAGCGATGACCTTGTTTTCTGTGAACAATTCTTAGTACATCATTTGATATAAGAAACTATATATATTTATATACTTGCATACAGTCAGAAAATCCTATTTATTTGTAGAGAAGAACAGAATCAATTAGAACAGAAACTAGCTACTATAGAGAAGAAGATTATAGTAGGTGGTGTTAATTTATTAGAGAAGGCTGAAGAACAAGAAAGATTACTTGAAGAATCGGCTAAAGAATTAAATGAACAAAAAGAAAAAGAAGAAGAACTACGAAAAGCTCTGAAAGATAAAGAGGTTAGTTATTTTACAACATTTGACAAGATGTATCTGTTTAAGGAAATGCAGGCAACTACTGGAAAATATCGATATTCAGTTCTTGATATCGACACTCGTATAAAAAATATAGGAGCTTCAATAAAATGAAATTAAAGGAATGTTTGATATCAAATATTCCCCATCAGATCATTCAAAATATGCTAACTCTAAAAACACGCACACCTAGGTACAACCACCTCGCTGGTACTTTTCGCAGTTGCTAACAGCAATGACCGGGGAGGGGGGAATAACTCCATTTTAATAGAAGTTCAGTGATTAATGGCGAGCACGAAGCTTCGAATACTATTGTGTTAATAACACCATCAGATTGCTAGCCTTTTTACCAATATATGTTTTATTTTTACGTGCAAGGCTTAAATTTTTGGAGGGGGGTTGGATCATTAGGCCTGTCATTGAGTCAAGTGGTGTGGTTTCAATTCCCAGCTCTATGTGACAAAAAGTGGGGTCGGGTGTCCAAGCTCGTGGATTTTTTTCCGTGTCCTCGGCTTTCCTCCAACTGCTAAAGACCCCTATGTGCAAGTGAAATATTGAAATAAAGTTGAACCTTACGTTAGTTCCGAAATGTCCTAGTTTGTGTCCAGTGGTGTTAAATCTCTCTCTCTCTCTCTCTCTCTCTCTCTCTCTCTCAAATTGTAGATTTACCTCCCCTTGACAATATTGAGGTTGCTTCCCTCGGTCTACATACAGATTATTAAAGGTGTTTTATAATCAATGAAACAAGATATTATAATAATTATTGAAATATGATTAACGTATTAACAAATGTATCAATTACTTATAAATATCAGATTGATCAAGTATTGTCATTTATGTGTCATAAATTATTGCAAATCATTTGCAACACCAGATTTTGTTGTACTCCATGCTTTGAGATTAACAGCATTGCAATTATAGAGACTGTTTTTCTGTTTAAAGAATGGTGTCAAATTAGATCTACAATCAGTAGGTAAAAAGCGATCACGGATATTGAAAGATGCAAATTATGATCCTAAAAAAGTGAAAACAAACGGTTGCCATGCAAGATACGCCCACATTTTTCAACAGATGGACAGAGAACAAGCTAAAAACACGATTTTTCGCTACAATCCATGAAGTTACAGTCTGATACATGCCAATATCGAAAGGAATCAAGACCTTTGGGTTATTTTGTTGTACTCCATGCTTTGAGATTAACAGCATTGCAATTATAGAGACTGTTTTTCTGTTTAAAGAATGGTGTCAAATTAGATCTACAATCAGTAGGTAAAAAGCGATCATGGATATTGAAAGATGCAAATTATGATCCTAAAAAAGTGCAAGATACGCCCACATTTTTCAACAGATGGACAGAGAACAAGCTAAAAACACGATTTTTCGCTACAATCCATGAAGTTACAGTCTGATACATGCCAATATCGAAAGGAATCAAGACCTTTGGGTTATTTTGTTGTACTCCATGCTTTGAGATTAACAGCATTGCAATTATAGAGACTGTTTTTCTGTTTAAAGAATGGTGTCAAATTAGATCTACAATCAGTAGGTAAAAAGCGATCATGGATATTGAAAGATGCAAATTATGATCCTAAAAAAGTGAAAACAAACGGTTGCCATGCAAGATACGCCCACATTTTTCAACAGATGGACAGAGAACAAGCTAAAAACACGATTTTTCGCTACAATCCATGAAGTTACAGTCTGATACATGCCAATATCGAAAGGAATCAAGACCTTTGGGTTATAAACATACATTTCAAGATTCATCAAAATTGGATAAAAAATTTGACCTCTAAGTAGGTCCACAACTTTGGTATTACATACTTTAAGAATATTTGCGAAACCTGAGATCTTTGAGTTATAAACATACATTTTAAGTTTCATTGAAATGGGATAAAAAATTGTGACCTTTAGAGGGTCCACAAGCTAAAAACATGATTTTTCATACAAACAGGACCCATACTCCATGAAGTTACGGTCTGATACATGCTTATATCAACAGGAACCAAGATTTTTGGGATATAAACCTATATTACAAGTTTTGTCAAAATCGAATAAAATTGTAAACGGACATTAATGTCCACGTTAAAAAATGGTTGTGATCATACATGTACAATGTGCATAGAGCATGGGTTAAAATTAAGACTGTATTATTGAAGTTAATATTAACTGTCATAGAGTCAGCTGGTGTGGTTTCGATTCCCCGATTGTACATGACAAGGAGTAGGGTCGCCTTTCCAACCTCATGGGTTTTCTGTGGGTCCTCCGGTTTCCTCCCATCGCTAAAGACCCCTACACACAAGCGAATTATTGAAATATAATTGAACCATGTGTTAGTCCCAAATGACCTAGTTTGTGTGGAGTGGATGTTAAACTCTCTCTCTCTCTCTCTCTCTCTCTCTCTCTCTCTCTCATTAAATATAATCTTTTATTGTAGCAAGAAAGACTGGATATTGAGGAACAGTATTCTAATTTACAAGAAGAAATTGCTGGTAAAACTAAAAAACTGAAGAAAGTGTGGACAATGTTGATGTCGGCTAAATCAGAGGTAAGACATTTTTCAACAGAATAAGTGCCCTTGTATACTCAATGAGTGCAAACACATTGTTTTATTAGTTTAAAAATTTCATTAAAAAATCAATTGTAAAGGTGAATATATCAGTGCAATGAAGCTAATTCAGCAATATTAGTAAAATCTATCCATCATAGAAACGAAATAGTCATAATTAAGGATGTGTAAATTGATCTCTGTGTAAGTTTATCATTGTTATAATTTTATATTACAGATAGCTGATTTACAACAAGAACATCAGAGAGAAATGGAGGGATTATTAGAAAATGTGAGAGAATTAAGTCGTGAATTAAAACTACAGATGCTAGTTATAGATAACTTTATACCACAAGAATATCAGGTATACAAATTGAATTATGTTTTACATATAATCCAAGTCTTACTATTTTATGTGATTTATGTGTAAGTAGGTATGTGACAGAAAGTATCTCACTCATCCAACTAATATTTCATTTGGCAAGGGATGCATTTTATTCAACCACTACTATAGGAATTAAGTATTTTTTATTTTTGAAGGAAATGATAGAAGATCATGTACATTGGAATGATGATATTGGAGAATGGCAGTTACGATGTGTAGCATATACTGGGAATAATATGAGAAAACAAACACCACAATCTGAGAAAAAAAAAGAAAAGGTAAGTCGGAACTTCAACTTCGGGTCAGTGATAAATGTAACATTTATCTGCCCACATTTTACCTGCCCTGTGTATGGTCAGAGGATCGATTGCTGATTATCAGCAGATCACTAAATACTAACATTCATCTAAACATTTTCCATTGTAAATTACATCAATCTGACCTGTTAAATCTAGTTCTTTTGCTGATCACCTTAGGTTGATACATTCCTGATACCAATATTAAAGATTTAACTTTCATTAGATTGATATTTTTTTGATACAAGTATTAAAGATTTATCTTTAATTAGATTCATAATGTTTTGATACCAGTATTAAAGATTGATATTTTTTTATACCAGTAATAAAGATTTATCGTTAATTAGATCAATAATGTTTTGATACCAGTATTAAAGATTGATATTTTTTTGGGATACCAATAAGTTTTTTGGTTATGAATGAGTTTATGATATAAAATCCATTGTTGTTACAGGCAACAGAAGTAGATTTGTCAAATGTATATTTAGCTTATACAGTTGAAGGAGCAGCAAATGCCATGAAACCAAAAAATGCAAAATCTTCTAAATCTAGTCGACCAAAAACAGCTACTAGACCTAAAACATCGAAAAAGTAAGTATTAATTAAACGGGCAATATTACCCAAGACAATAAATATAGCATCATTTAAATGATACAAACACTGTAAGTATTAATAGAAGTGGGTGTAACTATATAAACCAGACACCAAAATGTGATATTAATAGACTGTTTACAATGTCATAATATTTAAAAATTAGAATTTTAAGCTGTTTGGAAATGATCGCCAGATTTTCTTCATTGGGTTATGTGACCTATTTAAGGATTTTCATTCACGTATAATTAACTTGACAATCTATTCAGGGACTTAAACAGTGTGGAAATTGTCTGTGATATCACTTCTTCAATTAAGAAGAAGAAAGCACTTAAATATTGTGGAATTTGGGGTCTGAAGGTCAACCAAAAAGTATAACAGAGCTTTGGACAATTTCACCGGATTAGGATAAGAGTTTACTCCTTTAAATTTGTTATAATATGATGTTAATATCTAGAATCATGTTAAAATATATGTTCTTCAACTAAAAGTAATATTGGTCATCCCTCCCCCTAACCAGAGACATGTCCCCACTGCATCAGATGTCACCAAGACAGATGCCCTATGTTGTAGGTATGATAATAATATGTGATTATATTTTTCAGGAAAAGAAAGGAGAATGATATAGATACATTACTACACTGACTGTTTACTGCTGCCCTAGGTTTAGTTGTTATTAAAACTGTAGCTGTATGTGAAATACTACATGATCAAATTCTTAATAATATCGCCTAAACTTTACATACAGTTTATATTGAGTGGTGTAACAATGTCTTTCATGCCTTTCATTATATTATTTAATTGCACAAATTATAAAATAAATTTAAAACAATAACTAATACATGTATTTTAGAAGTGGTTGATTCTTGAAAAAAAAACCAAGTCTTCCTAGTTTATTTCACCATTTTGCTCCATTTGTGCAAATTCGACTAAAGATTGAGTATGGATAATTAAATACAAAAGGACATTGTTACTTCACTTATTAATTATCAAAATATTTGTACATTATAAACATTATATGCTTTATATATAATTATGTCAAAGTTTATTTGTGATAAAAGTTTATATATTGTTTTTAATTTACATATTTATTTATATTCACATCAACTGACACCTTAAATATGTAACACACATCATATTATTTATAATTAATATTTTATTTATTTAAAATTGTTATTTGTGAATGAATATTATCAGTTTTTGTGGGGTTAATCTTGGGACAGCAGTTAAAGAGTATTACCATGGAGAATATATTATATACAAGGGAACAAATTGGAGATAAAATTTTTGAAAAATAAAACACTGTCATGTAAAAAAAAAACATTTAGAGTAATTTCTTATCTCAAAAGAGGCATGCTTCTTTTTTTTATTAAGAAAATTAATTTACTTATAGAATTGGTTTAAACACATTCCAAATATAATTTTAACATTGAGATCTTTTCTACAGTGGATCTATAACAAAGATTTTAAGAATCAGGAAGTAATGCTAGAGTTTTTGGTATGTTCAAAACTAGTACTATTCATCAAAAGAACTGACTGCCACACTTATGTCTCTTTATTAAGTTTTAAATTTAATATTAAAAATTAATTTTATATGGCAGCCTGCCAGAATAATAATCAAAGACTATTTCACTTGCTGTCAAACTTATTAAAAAAAATAGTTTTGTTACTCCTGATACAATATATTTATGACAGTATTTTTTTGAGATGTACTGGTACAATATTTATATGACAGTATTTTATTTGTTGATCAGTAAAAAAAAAAACAGATGAATTTATGAAAGTTTAAATAAACAAATTACAGGGGCTGTATTGATTTATCAATAATATTAGACAATGCTCATATCGAATTAATAAAAACTATTTTATTATCAGATACGACAATTACAAGTGGTATTTTTATGTACAGGTAAAATTATATTTGAAAACTAGGAAAGTAAATTCATCTGTTTGGTTGTTAGAAATAAATCTTAATGTGGAGAAGAATGTTTGATAGATAATGTATATTGTAGCAGTTTTTGGATGATTGTAAAGAAATTGTGTAGTGGATTGTTATGTATAATATCAACACCTTTCTTGTATTGTTTAATATATTATCTATCATTCAAAGTATTGTAGAACCTACTGAATGCCCTTTAAAGGAGTAAACCTCTTTGATTCAGTGATTTTGTTCAAAATAAAGTATTGAATTGGGTGATCTGATATTTCCATTAGTGATCGGACATGCTCTAAGGAATTCAATTTCTGTTGTGACAGTCTGTTTGTCAGCTAGTTTTAGTGTCATTTTTGGCTAACTGTGTCAGAACATGAACTCACACTTGATTTATCAGTGGATGTAAAATTATAAACAAAAACAGACTCTCAATATATAAAATCAAAAATTGTATTTTTGACCCAGATCAAAGCTTGAGTGCCATTTTTTTAAAAATTCAGAAGAACTATATTTTTTGTGTTATCTTTGACAATTTTTGTAACTCCACAAAAAGCATTCAGTAGGAAATAATATAAAAAGGGATATGTATATATTGAAAGTTAATTTATATATGTTTGGTTTAAATCAAGGAGATAGAATAAAGAGAATAAGAATTATTTCATAATTCCTAAAGTTATGTGGGTCACCTTTGAAGACCATTTCATCCCCTTTTGGGGGTCTCTAAATGGTATATCTTTAAACTATATTTAGAATGGTAATAAATGATTACTCCAATTCATGCATGCAGCCATTTGTGCTCTAGTGTAAAAAAACAATTTGCCCAAATCCTGCATTTCTGCTTAATTCTTAGCTGTGTGTGTTTGAATCATTGAAAAGTAAAAGTTGTGTAAAATCAAAAGTTTTTGACCGATTGGTCTGAAATTTGGTGTGAGATCATAGTTAACAACCTGGAACACCCACAGCAAATTTCAAGTCTCTAGGACCACGGCAAGTAATAGGTGTTTGAAAGTGCATTAGCGCCCACAATTCAATGTTCAGTTATCTAACAGTGTCAGTTATATCATTTTATGGTATTAAACTATATCATAGGAATGAAAGGCCTTCTAAGGAGAACAAGATATTCTAATCAGAGCTTGCAATCCCTTGATTTATACTCTAAGGGTTGATTAGAAAATTTAGTATAAGTATTATTGTTAGAACAGAAGATGCATTATCCAGTCCATTAACAGTTATGATTAATTACCCTTTGTTAGTGCTGCAGGAAAAGCAAATTATATAATAAGTTAAGTTCCGTTGTTTATATGATGTGTTAAATTATATTTTAAATTTATAATTGCCATTTGTATTAATTTCATTTAGTTTATCAAATTACTCCATTCATTTGTGTGCATTTAGTTTTGTCCGTCCTGAATAATTTATTTTACCTTTTTTTTCTACTATAAAACTTTTTAGATTTAATGTTTATGTTGTTTTGTGTTTTACTATATTGGATTATTTTATAGCAGATACCAAGGTTATATGAAGGTAATTTAAGCTGAAATGAAAATTAATATCTATTGTTCTAATGGTACTGTCATTGTTGGTACCTGCTGAATATCAAAAGATTATAATTTACTGTGATAATGAATAAACCACGGGGAAATAAATTAAAACTATTTAAAGTCAAGATTGATAATCATATAACTTTATCGATGCAATTATCAGTTAATAGGACCGTGGTTTTAGTAGAAATCCCAAATCAACAATCATGGGTAAATTTCTACCTCCAACAGCCATGGGGTTTGATTCCTAGACACAATAATAATCCAACTTCTGCCAGTAATGTAATTTTATATAATTAAATTCAATGGCAATAGGTCTACATGCAATATTATTTGATTATATTCATGATATATCATTGATTTACTGTTTGACTTTTATAAAATATTATGCCACTGGGATGGCCTTAATAAGGAGTTGATGTGGACAATCGACCTTCCTCCACACTGTTCTGGTAAGGGTTAGAAATGGAATGCCTTGGAATAAAGAGGTAATAGCACTGAAAATAATTTATTATAACCTGTCTTGTATGCACAAAGTGAAAAGGCCGGATACTCATTATGATGATTAAATAATTAAAGTCGCTGTGCACCATTTGAATTTTTCGGAAGAAATCAAATTTTCCAAGCAGAAATATCCTCAGATTAATTATTCGACATTTAATTAAAGATACATTCCCACGAACATGTTTATCGGTTAGCTATTTACAAACCGGTATATATGGGAATAGAGACACCAAATCTTACTAGAAAAAAGTATAGGATTCCCAGAAAAACGCACACAAGACAAAATGTGAGGCTATTTCTAAAAGGTAGCACCGTCTCTTCGACCTTGAGTGACGTTAGGAGCGCTTTTTATGTGTTGATCTAATTAATAACGGTTGTGAGTGCCTTAAAAGCATCCAGTAGTCTCTGTGATTAAACGGCGGAAAAATAAGTTGACAGAGGATAATCCAAGGAATCTACTTGGGCTTCAAATATTTGAACGATTTTGAAAATAAGATAAAAAAAAAATTGCTACCCCTAGAGGATCCACAAGCTAAAAATGTGATTTTCGTACAATCAGGGTCCAAAATCCAGAAAGCTACGGCCGATAAACGGAAATAAATGGTGACCCCTAGACGGTCCACGACAGGGCGACCGTCGTTTGCACGGACTTCCATACTCTAGTCGAACTATCTGCATGCGAATGACATTTAGTTCAACCTCCGGCCGTGACCAGCCGTACCATGCGACAGCACGGTCGAAATTAGATAACAAACCCCATCTCTCAACCCTCCGTGTTTCGAGATAAGAGATGGTGCTATATAGTTCGACGTAGCAAAGCCCAACGCAAATCACATCGGGCCTCAGTAAGCAAAATTGACAATATTTTTCATCAAAATGACGATTGATTATTGTTATTTATAATATTTCTGCCACATCCAACTACAGTTAAGCATATAATCCTACCTGGAACGGGTATAAATCGTCGTATTTAAAATCTAGGCGTTAAGCCGATGCTAGCAACGCTATTTTTAAACGGGAGATGTATGACGGTGTATGTCGGATAAAAACAACGCTTCATTAATTTAAACACAAATATTTGGAGTTAATCGATAGTTGTGCCACTACATTGGCCTAGGTAAGTTTAATTAGTCATAATAGTATAAAATTATCTTATTTTTAAGATGTTACATGTATTGATAAAGAAACTGAGTTTACCACTTGGAACTAAAGGCACCTAATCGTAGTGGCACAGGTAAGTTTAATTAGTCATAATAGTATAAAATTATCTTATTTTAAAGATGTTACATGCATTGATAAAGAAACTGAGTTTACCACTTGGAACTAAAGGCACCTAATCGTAGTTAAAAACAAGCACATCAGTATATCTCAACGATTTAGGTACGTTCTCGTAGCTAGGTCGTGATAGTTCAAAGATGGCTGAAAAGACTGACGCGTGCGTAGATTTGTCTGAAAACTATCATAAAATTGCCAATGCGTTATTTACACCATGGACCGTATTTCAGGGTTCATGGTAACACCCAGAAGTTGGAGAATATAATTATATAGGCCCTCGACAAAAACTGTGAAATGATCCATGTTACCAGTTAACCCGGATGGAGTCCGCTTTGTAAGAAAATGTTCTCCATCCCCATCGTTAAAATATAGTTTTAAAAATGAGTAAATAGCAGAAAATATAGCAGGCGAAACAACTGACATGGGCGCCACCATATTGAATAGCCAATGGTTCGGATCATTTGCGTTCGGGTGCTGGTTCAGACTGTAGTCGCGACCACAGTTTACACCCGAAGGTCGCCCCGGTATTATATGCTTTTACACTATTTGCGTAAAGGGGAGCGGCCATTTGAATTTGAACTCAGTCGGAATGGTGTAACTGTGATATAGTTGAACGGTTTTTACAATCAATAAAAATTGTGACCTCTAGAGGGCACACAAGCTAAAAGTGTGGTTTTTCGTACAATCAGGGACCATAATCCAAGAAGTTACGGTCCGATATGCGCCAGTATCGACAGGAACCGAGAACTTTGGGTTATAAACATACATTAAAATCGGATAAAAAATTGGACTTCTAGACAAACTGTCCACAACCTTCATATTATTATGCATATATTTGTCCAGTTCAGCATCACAGGGAATCGCCATCGTCTGCAGTGTTTTCATGGTAAGGGATTTAGAAAACACAAAAACTAGTAATTTTACTAGCCAGAAATCGCTTAGAAAGCGTCCCCGGCTATCTAGACCCCGGTAGCCTCCCAATCAAGAATTGCTTCTATAATATCACACGTACTTGTGATACATTCTGTTCCATAAACATAATGTTCATAATACTGCACACTTTGAGAGTGGTAACTTTCGATTATCACCCATACGGTGACGTCCCCTTTATGTAAGAACATGTATAATACTAGAATAAGTAGAGGGCGCCAGATCAAATAGAATTTACTTGAGTTACTTTATCCGATGTTACAGAACAAAGAGGATTCAATGTAATAAACGTATGTAGTCAGTGTTGGTTGTTAATACCGAGGGGGAGAATGTTTACTGTCAATGCAGGTCTAATTATATTAAAGGTTCTAGTCGGGGTTAGGTAGCCAAGCATCTATTGTATTACAACTACAAAGAAAATAGAAAACTCA